GTCTAGCATGACTGGCTCAAGATGACAAGCTGAGTAGTTGATTGGATTGTAGAATTCAGTCTAGGCCATGTTTTTACTCTTCCAAACTGCTATGTAAATTTATGAATAGAAAAAGATTTCCATACTTCACACCTGCAGATACATTTTCAATTAAGTGTATTTAAAAAGCAACATTTGCCAGTTTAAACATCAAGCACAATAGTAAATGAACACATTGATCTACCTTGAGTTTGCTACAGACACAAACCATACTTTCATCATGATAATGTATGATGTTTAAGGAATATTTGATACGAGTATTTGAGAAAGATCCTGCTAGGACTGAACGTCACGCCCTCTCACTTTTTCAAATATTTCTTAAGTTAAAGAAACCACAACCCTTAATTCAGCCCTGGCCAAGTATTACTTGGTTTACAACTTTTGGCCATTAACATGTACTACAGTAAACTCCGACTAAGTCGACATTGAGTAACCTGTCATATCGTCCAAGTCGGCCGTTTGACAAAAGTCCAGATCATCTGTAATGCATTTCCATTGAAAATTTCATTTCTAAGTCGGCATTTATAAGTCATCATTTCACATAAGTCGGCATGATTTTCTCAGTCCCTTTTTCCACAAACCACAAAAATTCCTTTGTGTAAGTCTGCATTAAAAAAATCACGCTTTACGGTATCAATTTCATTCGCCGCGCGGCTGCCAAAAAGTGTCAAGTGACAAGTCCCATACTGCTTGACTGATGTCTGTTTAATGACAGCACAGGCCGTGGTTGATAATTGGCCAGCATGAGCACATCAATACCAGTAAGGGCCGGCGACAATTTAGACCCGGTTTGAAAAGGACCCCCCGGTAAGCTCGCCCTGTTGCGAAAACCCCTTTCATACCGGCCTGGCTACCAGCCTGGCTACCAGCCTGGGATGCTGGACTGGTTGTTGATGTCGAACTTCTCCATCCTGGGGTCTATTGTTTGCAAGTACTGGTACATGTAATCTATCCCAGAGGAACCTGCTTGTGGTTTTCAATCCTTCAGCTCTATACAATGTTTACACTAATCTGCTTAGACCCCTATTCATCTGTGGAAACATGTTGGGGGAAGCCTTTCATCAGGGACTTTGAAATGCCGGCCTGGAGTAGCCTGAATACCAGGCAGGCATTATACAGGCTGGGCTACCGGGGGGTCCCTTTTCAAACCGGGTCTAAATGGTCGCCGGCCCTAACCCCTCTAGCGCTACACGTATACGCTCTGTCCATTTTGGGGGTCACCTTATTGAACGAACTTAACCAATGCATGTGTGCGGATGAGTGTGTTTTCTTTACAGTAACAGTATCACCTACATGTACTTACTGCACTATCGAGTCGTGATATGATATGCAAGTGGCTTGCTGTCCTTGCTTCATCCTTAGGGGCACATGATCAATTATCAAATTTGCAGCCCGTGAGGATAACAATTGAAAACAAATTTGCTGGGATCAACCACGGAGATAGAAATAAACCAGGGTAAAATCAAAGCCATGGAATTAGTGCAAGGAATCATAATGTACATAGGCAGTACATGTGTACGTCTAAGTCAGCAAAATGATGATTTACAACACAAGTCGGCATTCACATAAGTCGTCATAATTTCTTGAGTCCCGAGAGTGCCAACTTGGCCAGAGTTTACTGTAATTTGAAGGCCAAATGTCTCTTACCTATTTGAGAAATAAATGAATGGAACAATGGCAATACATGTAGATTTGGTTAAGCTCTTACTTGGTTCTCAGGGGCTTCCTAACCATCGTGTCTCTGTACAAGTTACATTGTGAAACTTGGTGCATCAACATGGCTAGAAGACGGTTGGTTCCTGGTTGACTGACTGGCAGGCAACTGCTTGATTGGNTTGCTGACAAGGTGGCTGGGAGATGATTGGGTTCCTGGTTGACTGGCTGACAGACAGACTGGTTGACTGATTGCTGACAAGGTGGCTGGGGGATGGTAAAGTTCCTGGTTGGCTGGCTGACAGACTGGTAGGTTCTCAACGTAGTAGTAGTTGTAGTTCTGCCAATTATTACTTCAGTGTTTATAGCTCATTTGACAAACAGAAACAAACAAGAGCATGCACAATTTACTCTCCATGAATGTTTACATAAACATACTGGTATTTGTTTCATAATTGTGGGGACGACACAAGTTGAAATATAGATGTTGTGGGGACCAAGTTTTCATTCCTACAACTCGCTCTATCCTGGCTTCCTAACTAACCCCCCCAATACCAAAATTGACCAGTTTCGGCCAGCTACTGCCCTGCCTAAGGAAAAGTGGTTGGATGGTAGGACAGCTTAATTCCTGTCACTCAGCCAGAGGTGATTATGACATCTGCTAAAAGTCTTACAACCGGGAGCCAAAGCTAACCTAGCTGGTTACTGACTGCATCATTATATTTTGTTCCAGATGAACTCACCCCATCTTACAAGAATACCAGTCTTGTTGGATCTGAATGTAGTATCTGATGCCAGCAGCTAGGTCACAGCATTCTGCAGAATCGTCTCCATTTCAGAGATGGAATCTCCTGCAAAGCATGTGACTGGTTTAGTGGGTATAGGTACTAAAGAAGGACAAACAAGACATATCCCTAGAGCAAGATGACTGTAAAGACTGTTAAACAGCAAACCAAATGATGAGCACTACCTACGATTACGGCTGTATCTGAATCTAATGTAGGGGCAAAGTAAGAATAAACAGTGCCCACCGGTTTGCTAAGGTGCTGAATTTTCAGCCCCACTGGGCCTTCACTGGAGCTGTGGGGGGACTAGTGGTTTGAATGCAGAAAAGTCCACATTCAAACCGCCGGGTGTCCGTGTTCTAATCCGGAATATGCGTCGAGCGTCTGATGTTGCCATGGTTAACGCACACACACACACGTCGTCACAAGTGTGTGGTGCCTTGGTGAAGGGGCGCACTACAGGGTATCTGAATCTGTTGTCTTGTGTAGAAATCATTGTTACACAAGCACACAATCACGCCAACTAGATACAAATCCAACATCTGCTTCATTTAAATACATTCACTTTGTACAAACAGACAGCTCTTCAGCAAACATGTCCACTTGCCTGACATGAAGTTACTGATAAAACAGCCATTGAGATCTTTGAGTTATCACCGTCTGGTTCCTAGACTGATTTGGGGATAAAATGCAGACCCTGTTTCCTTAACAGAATGAAAATTTGCATCTCAATGTTTTGACTCACTTGAGTAGGTAACGATGATACTTGTGGAATATCTTCACAATTAATTTTGTGGAAATCTGCCATAGTTGTGAGTTTTGAGGGAACTTACACTGCATAGGGCAACATTGATGACAGCAACACAAAAATGCACACAATGAAAATAAACATGGTAACAATGTCTAAGCTAGTTTGGTAGAAAATCACTGAGGGCTGCTGAAATATTCCATTATGAAGCCATTTTGTGCAAATCTACCCTTGGCTGCCAGTACACTGTGCGGGTATTGCAGTGTCAATGTGAGTGCCAATTCCCTATCAGAAAATCACAAAGGAAAATTGCATTTTCTCTCAATGTACTGCTCTAAAATTACCAAATAAAGATCAAAGTTTGAGAGAACATTGCCCGAGGGGAGACACTTTTGTTGACCGACAGTTTTAATTTGAAATGGAGGTGTTTAATTTGCAACTACACAATCCAGAAAGATACTGACTCAGTTTATCGCACTAATTAGGAACAAATTGATTAGCAAATGAATGACAGTGATGAGACGACAAAGTAGAGACCAAAATTTCATGAATGGGAACACTAGGGTTTAATGTTGCTATTCCGTAAAATATCATACTGCTTGGGTGAATGAAGCCGGATGAAAAGCAAAGAGCTCATGAATTTTTTTCACAAAGTATCTCTGAAGCACCCAAATGTGGCAAGCCACCCTAATGGCACACTTAGATTTTTTACCTCTAGTGACTCATAGGAGCAATATTTTTACCTTAGATTTCTTAATACACATACACTGTAATAAGTGAAATTTCAATAAAAAAAACCAATATTCTGATTCAAATATATTGATTTTACTCACCTGCTACGAAGTTCCAATCAAATTTTATTTTGGCTTGACTTTTTTCTGAAGAGTAAAATGGACTCTTTTAAAATGCACCCCACTACGAAAATAATTTAACAAATTTGTGTTTACATGTAGGTGTGCAAGTGGAGGTTATCATAGTTCGTTAGAACTCCATGTGTTCTTATTCCTCCATGGTTAGAATTAATCCACTTTTTAAAACTTCTCAATGATTAGGAGGGTTTTCTGAAAATTTTTAAAGTGCACCATTTTAGCATAGGTTTCTTGCCCCATTTCCGGACGCTGCCGTTTTTTAATTTCGGATGAAATTTCATGACACTGAAAATTTGAAATTGTTCACAAAGGTTCAACAGCATGAATGAAGGTCCTAACCCAAACAGATTTTTTAAAGCGGTCTAGTAATGTAGGCCTATATGTCTATCCCATGGTCGTTGTCTACATTGCATTGCGAGTCGTAGCATGATCAAGACAACGTCCAACCTGAGCTAGCCTTTAGAGCAAAGTCGCGTATGAACGAAGTGCACCACGCGTACGCATATGTGGACATGTGCTGTACATAGACACGCCTTTCACTGGCCGGGCGAACACGTTTCGAGTGCAAAGCTAGCAATATGATACATTCATTTAAAAGGGAAATCTCCTTCAATGTGGTTATCCCTATGCGTTATTATTACAGAATATGTACCAAAAACATAAACAGTTTCAATATCCCCTAAAATTACGGGTTATTCCAACAACAAACTTACTCTCAAATAAATCGAAATTTCTACTGACATGCCGCCATTCACCTTTCCTGTTTTTAACACTGATGGCGCTGTTACAGCTTACTGTTAGTTAATTAAGTAAAGTTCCAAAGTCGGCCTCGCGCATCCCACCTAGGCCACACGTGGAAACATAAGTTCACTCGAGCTCACGCAACAATAATTGATAAAAAAAGAAGAGATCATTCAAATATTAAAGAGACTGGAATGATGGCATTCCTTTGTGGTCTTTGGAGTTAAGCATCATTTAACCGCTGCTCGATTATGGTCTAAGCACTAACATCAGAAGAAAAGTTTGCTTGCAAAAGAATAAAAAACTTGGTGAAGTCTAGAACCATTGTTATTAATTAATAATCCAACCTACACAACTCAAACTAGTTTTGATAAGCATTACCTTGCACTAAGAGCTTTACTAATCTAAATTTTGCGACGATAATTGAGAAATCTTTAAATTTGTCTAATAAGCTGGTTATAATTTCATTGGTTTTATGATTTCCTATTTGATATTGTCGAAAAGACAGAAATGTCCGTAAGTATACGGTACTTGGCAGCTTAGAGAACATAAAATATGACGGGAGAAAACTGAAGATTGAGAGAAATGAGTTGTCTTCATGAGCTAACATCCCTTAGACCATCAGCTAAAGTGTGAAGGTGAAGAGTGTGATACTGCATGACGCTAAGGATCGAATTCTATCCCATTGAGTGGCCATAACGCGCACCATTCATACTCTGGAAATTTATGAGATACATCGATGTACATGTACACTGCGTTAGTTATACAGTGAGACCATATGTTAAACATTTGGTTCCTGTCTCAACTTCTAAAGTGCGCCATCTACAGTTTAATATGCCAGCTTTTTCAACCAACACCAGATCATGCCTGCCAAAAATAAACTGGACCGGTGAGTTCATATACACTTTTTTCATGTTGCATAAATCATAAAATAAAAACGCTAAATGAATCGTTATAAATCTTCAAAAGTTTACTTCCAAGAAACTAGTTAGAAATTTCAGACTGATAACTGAGTTTTAAAAACTGATAAAATATGTTGAAGTTAAATTCCATGTAGCAGAAAATGAATCTTTAAAATTTCATGCTATTTCATGAATACTTAAATCCTGGTAAAGACCAATGACAAAAATTCAAGAAAAGAAAGAGGTGGCTTATTTTAAGACGTGAGAAATTGTCTCATACGGCTTGCTAACACTGACCACTGAATTATATCACACTAAGCGTAAATCTCCAATAAAAGTGGCAGAAACACTCATCTGTTTGCTTAGTGATATCTCAGTTAAATCCTATGCATTGGTCAGCATTTCAAGTAAAAACAGAAAATGACATCGACCAAAACTGGCACAAGTACAGGCAGATAGCCAATCATGCAAGAACAGAAAACTAAAGTACTAGAGTTCTAAAAAGTGTTAATAAAAATACTTAAAAAAAGGACTTAAAGGAATGTAACAACTGTTTACTTTGTTACAATCTACTACCATTTACATTGAAAAAGAGGAACCCTGGGAAAGTTTCCACAATGGAAACAAAGGCTTACCTTCATCAACAATACATGTAATACATTGTGTGTCCAAACATTTGCATTTAAAACAGTTATGTTTAGAATGAGAGCGGTCTGACAAATTTGCATAGTCTTATGAATTTTCAACAAGACAAACCTGTATTTCACATCTGATAATTCATTAATCCAAATCTGCCCAACTGAGTAAAATTATTTTTCATATCACAGCATCTATGAATGAATGGAACAGTACTGGATGGGGGCGGCTAACACTATACACCAAAGCCTTGCTTTTTTCTTTAATTATATCAATGTCTCATGCATTTGGTGATGTTCGTCTGGATTTGTATGTTTGTTTCCCTCTTTATAAGATGCCAGATAAACTGCTCTGGAGGATATATCCAAGTCAAAATCTTGGAAGCACTGGGATGTTGGCTTTTTTGTGGACGTCATTCAGCCATTTAATGAGACCTTCATTCAGCTCATTAGGTCTGCAAAAATACGATTAGGAACAGTTGAAGAAATTAAATGCTAATATAAAGACAACAAACCGGTAGGTCCAGTGATAATATTCAGATAACTCAACATGCAGACTCCAAAAAAACTAATATTAGCCAAGTCTTATTCAATATTTCGTTGTTTTTTTCCTTAAGATGTTTTGAATAAAAATATTGAATCAAACATGGCTAATATTTGTCTTTTAGGAGTCTGCATAATACTGATTAAAGACAACAATGTGATGTACAGTAACTAATTAGCTTGATCAGCTGTTGAGATTTATAACTGCACATTCACACTTGCCTTTATTTTGCAAAATTTCTAAGATAGTGCCCAAGAAACAGAATAAGCCTTGATTAATTATTGTAATGAAAAATGGGTTTGAAGAATAACTGACCTTTCCATTTGAGTCCAGTGGCCACAATCCTCAATGTTAACTCGGGACAGATTAGGCACCTAGAAACGGATGCCCAAAACAAAAAAGGAACTCAGTGATCAAAATCAGCCAATTGTGACCATTGAGAGAATTTGAACTGGTAAAAACAGGACAATGAACCAATGACACAACTTGTATCGTAAATGTTTCAGAAGATGTGGTTTTGATGGTCAGAAATTTCATCCCTCTTTCTCCAACATCACTTCTTATCATTATTCAAACTAAGAACACCCTAGCAACAAGGTGTCCCTACACGGAAACTATTACCTCTGGCAACCAACTTAAAACACAACAACAATTTCCTCTAGTTGATGACGGAGATATATGTGTCCTTACTGAGAATACATTGTGTTCCTCATGGACTGTTGCGTGACCCGGCATAGGTTAATTCAGATGACTTTAGAGGCAGGACTTTGGAGGGCAGATGTTCGCCGTGACAGGCTTTATTCAGCACACTTTGTAATGCGAGAAAATGTACACGTCAATAGAGGGCGCACTTAACATTTCTCTATGTCCCATACTCAACATGGACCATTCTGGAAGTAACAAGAACTTCCCAAAATTTCAGATTTTGCCTTACCCATTCTTCCATTGGTTTACTGAGCTCTGGTGGCAACACTCGATCCTTGCCAGCAGTCACCATCAGAGAAGGTGCATAAATCTACACAGTAATATCATTATCATTATTATTAATTATTTATGGTTTATTTACCCAACTCTCGCATCCAAAGGCTGAATTTCAGTTTGATTTACAATAATTACATCAAAACTATAAAAGTTACAAGAAACTATATATCAAAAACAGAAACAGTAAAAAATACAGGTATACACATCAAATAAAAGGTTTATATAAAATTGATTGATAAAAATGCCAAAATTTTATCAAACAATTAAATGCTCAAAATGACATACAAAGCCAAAAAGAACACTAGATACACGCGTACAAACCAATGTACCGACATACACACATGCAAAGTGTGCACACTCCCCCCCCCCGGCAACGCAAACCAACCCCAAACCTCCCAAAATCAACCCTCACCATCATAACTCTCTTCTTCAGGACAACATCGTAATACAGCTAACAGGATTTAGCTTATGAATACATTATAATCCCCAGGATCTAACTGGAGGAATAAGACGCCAGGGATAGAGACGATTAATCACTCGACTATAATTGGAAACAGGAAAAGTCCAGAGGACTCAGGATATAGTTATGAGAGACATTTAGCATGTCCTTATTTATCAAGTCTTTTAGATAAGGGATTGTGCTCCCTTTGTACCGCTTTGTCCTGCATCCGAAAGTGCTTAAATGATTATTATTCCTCAAGCCATTGTTCCCAGTGGGAGGAAGCCAATGTGTAAATTTGTTGCAGTAAAGAAGGGATTTATCAAAACTAGAACAAATAGGAACAAATGGAGCAACAATTCAACATGCAAATAAGCCTTCACCAAAACGTCCATAAAATGAATGAAAATTTACTTCGAAAGTGTGCAAAAACATTTATCAACAGTAGAACTGAAGTATTATATGTACACTGACCTTGCGACCAACATCTTTTACAGAATTTTTCCAATTCTGATCATGATTTCGGTACCAGTTCAGAGGACCCCTGGAAAAGTCAGAAAACACACAGTTAAACAAAACAAGAAGCTATCTTCACGGGTTTCAAACATTCTCACAGATCTAATGGGACAGCTTTGCCAACTATCATCTCTAAGGTCATCAGGGACAAGAAAAATAAAAACCAAAGACAAAGCAAAAATGCAAGCTACCTGAATCCTGATGTCTTGTATTGTTTGACATAGTAGGCCAGATCTTTCTCCGTCAGCAGGGAGGGTAATGGAAGATTATCAGGAACACCAACAAGCAAACCACCTGTTGAATATACAGTCTAACGAGTTATCAAAAACTTCTCTAAAATTGCTAATGTGATGAAAACTGCTTAATCTGCAGATCATTAATACATCTACAACATGGTGCCATGAAAACACCAATACATCCTTCTTCACACACATAATTTATTTTCAAAGAGTAACAGTTGAAGAGAATCTGAAGGGGAGAGGAAATACATAGATGTTTATAGGTTAGTACTTACCCCTCTGCCTTACGTTGGCGACAGTACACTTCTCCATTCCAGGGTAATAATCCTGAAAGTGAAATGAACTTTGCCATATGAAACAGAACAAAAAGATCATAGCCCATTTTACAATAGATTCTCAGCAATACTGCTCAGATCTTGAACACATCAATTACAATTTGAAAATATTACTTTGTTGTGGGATGGCCCTCAAAAACTAACCTGTTTACTAGATGTTCTGAAGAAATATTTGAAGGTTTTCTCCAAGTCTTTCTCAAGTTCAGCTTCAGCCACGCCCTACGGAGATATAAATCATGACAGGATACATGTATGAATGATCAAGTTACATGCCTCATCCGACTCTTTAAGAGTAGTTTCGTGAAGTTCAAAGTCAGATTTGAAAGTGATTTTACAGATAGTAGGCAAATGAGTCCAATATAAATTCCATTTAGGAAAGCAACTTGAACAATTTCAGACAACTTCTATCATTGCCATATCAATATCTCTCCCACACCAATCTTCAGTCTCCCTTTCATGATGAGTGCATGTCTATTCAAGATCTACAGGCTGACAGGCAAGACAGAGCACCTACCGGTTCCTGGAAGTACAGCTGATAATCAAGAACGCCTGGATCCTCACGGATTCTGTCCCAACGGTTGACACGTGGGTCAGGAGGGAAGTATGGTGTGTTGACACCTACCACGGCTCTATAAAGACCGGGCAAAAAAGGCAATCAGACCCGTTTACTTGCCTTTCAATCAAATTGGCTTAATAATATTACACAATTAATTCATCATACAGGGTGCATTTTTATAATGATCAATGATATAATTACCTGACACGGGATGGATATCTAAGTGCCATCAACCACACGACAACACCGCCCCAGTCATGACCAACAACAGTTGCTCGAGGAATATTCTGATCAAAACAAGCCAGAACATGAAAACCAGAATCAGGAAATGGAAAAGGAATAACAGAGGGGAGAGGAAAGCAAGGAAGAATTACCGTTTTTATCACTCATTACCGTATTTGGATGAATATGTCTGTTGTTTTAAACCACAGGTTCTTCCTGACCTTACTTACCAAGGAATCCATGATGTCCTTGATGTCCTACAAGAAAAGAAATGGCTTTTAATAAAAAGAGACTTATCGGCTGATGCACTTGAAATTGTGTTTGCAGTTTTTTCTGCTTGGTCTGAAAATGTAAAATTGCAGAAACAAATTCAAAAATACAAAACTAATTAAAGTGGTCTCAAACTTTTTCAAAGCATTTGTAGATTTACCTTGCACAAATGATCATGAGTATAATCCTTGATTTCTGAAAACAAACAAAATAAACAAACTAGTGCAAAAGTTTTTGTAAATCATAAAAATGACAAGGCACTCTTATTTGTATACATTAGATCAGCACATGATCACAGCCAAGAGTTCACATTTGTTTAGAATAGGATGCTTTCATCAGCAAATTTAGCATATTCAAGCTACCAGCTGGAATTGGCTGGTTCTTGGTTGACTTGTGCTCACAGTAATATTACTTTATCTAGCACTGACATCATTCTGTCTCATTTGCAACTTGCATTTAATCTTATTTTTTATATATATCACAAAGTCTCCAGAGCATAAATCACAACTAAATAACCTGAGATCGGTTCATGGTGATAAGACAATCAGTTTCAGGACTGTTGAGTTGCCTTGTGATACACCACTATGCTAACTGGCCAATAAAAGTAGTAATAATTGATCTGTTACCCATAGGAGCCGAGGAAAGACCAAAGCCTCTCTGATCAGGAACAATGACTCGATAGCCAGCTAAGACCAAAGCAGGAATCTACAAAACAGACAAACATGACAGCAGTTGGAATTTGTTCACATTTGTCAGCCAGAGGTGTCATTGAAGCATAAGTGTGTTGTACGCACCTGTTTCCTCCAGGAATACCAAGATTCAGGGAAACCATGACACAGAATGACTGCTGGTCCTTCTCCCATCTCGACATAGTGCAGCTTTACACCATCCTATTACAAGAAAAGACCATTTGTATAAATCTGAATTCTGTCACACTAACAAAGTAAACTGCAATTACAATGCTATTCAACCTCTTGATTTTTACAGTTTGCTACTGCATACCTCTGAGGTTGCATATCCGTGGGCAATCTTCTCTGGGTCAACTGAAATTGGTTTTGCCTTTTCAAAGACCTGAAACAAACAGGGTAAGGAAAGCTTGGAATTAAAAGAAGACTAAAATGTAGTCTGCCACCTACGTCTATGTGTAAAAAGTTTAAGACCAAAGCACACACACTTGGCAAAGTTCTAAAGCAAGGATATCTGACCTCATATGCTCACCTTCAACTGATTACATCTACCAGCCAAAGATTTATTCAAGTCATGCAACAACACACAACAGCCTGGATAAGGTCTCACATTACAAGAATGAATCATTTAATGTTCTCGATTGATAGTTTGGTATCTTTACTCACATTAACATCAGTCAATTCTTGCAACCTTGTCAGAGTAGATTTGACATCAGTAAACAAGATAGTTGTCATGCCAACGGCCTTTGCACCATTCACATTGCTCTCCAGATCATCCACAAAGATAACCTGAACAACATTCCATATTTTCATATGTATGTCAATGGCAACTTGAAACAAACAAATAAATTGCAGTCAAGTTCAACTCAACCTCTCACTTAAATTAGACTTCTCTTCTTTTACATGCATAGTTTACTGGCTTCTGTTTGAGCTATTAAGGCACTCAGTGTAAGATCATATTCAAATCAGAGTTCAAGACCTAAAAAACACAACCAGAGTCGAGGTGGTTATTAACTATCTTGGCAAGTTGGTAGGAGGTCAAGTTTAAACAGCACAAGCCTATAAAGTCTTCTTCACAAACTCTCAGAAAGCACCAATAAGTGCAACATATTTACACATTCTTAAACTGAAATTCCGAATTCTTACTTCTTTGGGTTCCACCCCCATCTCTCTGCATGCCAATTTGTAGATCTCTGGGTCTGGTTTCCTCATGCCAACATGACATGATTTAATGATCTGGTCAAAGATGAGCTTCATTGACACAGTACGGCGCACAGGGTCCTCATCATCCAATAAAGGAAGGTCGTAAACAAAGGTGTTGGTTAAGACACCAACTTTCAGACCTAGAAATATTTTAAAATACAAACACATCATTAGAGATGTCAGATTGAAATATCACACATTACAGCAAAATGGATGTGGTGGATGAATAACTTTAGCTAAAACATGCTTTTGATATTGACATAAGAGGATCAGATCAGCAGCAGGGAATCAAAGAGCAAAGTACTTTGGGGAATATTCAAAACCACGAGCTAATGCAAATAGTCAAGAATATTCTAGAAGTCACCTTGCCTTTCTTTTATGGACCACAGCTCATGACAAAACATTTCTGTATTGAGAAATAAATATCTGTGCAATTATGAAGAATAGTTAGGCATATATAGGCCCAAGACAAAATAACAGCTTGTATTACCATTGTTCTTCAAGCCTATGATGGCATTGATCATTTCTTTGTAAATAGGAAGTTTCAGCAGATCCATCATTATCTTCTCAATGTTGAATGACTTTGGAAGTTTAACATTCTTCTCTTTGGCTGCCTTCTCAAAATCTCTCTGCAGCTCACCGATACCCTAAAAAGATGAACCACTGATATGAGAACAACTACTGTATTTTATTCACAAGAGTCTTTGGTCCAGGCTACATGCTGTGCTATCAGCCATGCCAAATTCATGTAATTTAATTTTCTTCAGCTCTTCACAGCAAAAGCACGGTGTTTATTGCCAATTCGACTTGGTAAATTGCAAATCTTTTAGCTCGACAAGGTATGCCACACTATCCGTGTTTTTAACGGCAGTGGCATGACACTGCTCTACTATTAGTCGGACGTTGCGTAAATTTGCACTCAAAAGTGGGGGATGGGGGGTGGAGAAAGCCAGGGGGGTGACTTGCCTGGTGATGATAATTTGAAAAGCGGGGTACACCATATGGCTCTATATAGAGGGCGATGTTCATGGTACTTACGTACCTTTGTAATATGTATTCAGGATGGCATATTTATGGCTTTTCAAAATTGTTTTCCCCTTTGGGAGTGAAAGTCTGAAAAATTCTTCACAGTCCGCTTTAATGCTTACCACAAAAAAAGTGGGGGAGATATAAACCCCCATCCCCCGGGATTTACGCCTGTTACTATTAGTTCAGCATTCAGTGATATTGCTGCACTATAGGAGTGCTATAGCCACACTCATTTTAATTTAGTTCAGCACAGCAGTACCACGGCGAATAGCACAGGCCAAATTTGTAGGAAACTTTTTTACCCTGATTTTGGAAACAACCAATGACTGCCAAGTTTCAGATTGCCAATGACAAGTTTACAGAGTAGCAAACCAACCTTATGCAAGAAACTCACCTGGGAAAATGTATACTCTCCTGATTCCATTTTACTGAAGGCATTGTTTGGAGATCCCTTATGAAAGACCTCCCTCATAAACATCCTGACAATTAAGAGCAAAAAAAGGCAATGATATCAATGCTTGTAAGGAAAATTATGAAGGAACAGCAAGACAAGTCAGACTGGGGGAAAGAACAAGGGCAGATCTGATCCAAGTTTTGGGGATGCCAAACTTTTTTTGGGAGGGGGAATTTGGAAATCTTTACTTCTAAACTTGAATGGCTTTTCTGGAGGATGAGGCTACATTTCAGGGCTTTTTACACACTTTGGAAAACAGAAATGGAATTCAGCAAAATTGGACTTTTTCTCAGATTGGTTTATTTTTTAATATTTTTTGTTTAGGCCTTTTTGGGGGGGGAAGCCCCCTTCCTCCCCGATTGTCCCCTTGGGAGAGAGCTTCAAAAACTGGCCAAGGAGCTGTAGATTTTTTTAAGGGAAATACTTGAATGAGGCATGGTGTTCACAAATTTTCAGATTGTTTGAAAGAACAGCCTCCAATCCCTTCTTTTTTCAAACACTTTTCAACAGAAAGAAAGCGGTTATAGAGTAAAATTAAAATCACAGGATTTCACCTTCAGATTCAAAAATCAAAGCACAAAAGTAAACTGAGTGAACTTACGAAGGCAGGCCATTTTTTTCCGAGTACTGCTTCAAATAAGCATCAGGATTTTCTTTCAGAACTCCACCTACATCAAAGATGGCTGCCTTGAAAGCCATGACTGAAAGGCTAGAAAATAGGAATCAAGAAAAGAAACTATACAAATAAACAACTTCACTGACTCCCATGAACTTTGTATTTTCTCCCTTTGTCATTCCTTTGTCGAACATCATGAAGCTTTCCTGAAGACACTCTTTCGGATGCTTTCAGCAAAACATTTGTATAGAAAGTACTAAAAGTAAATGATTGATCAAATTCTCATGGCAAATAAGATTTCAAAACGTATGTGACTAAGGTTCAATTATAATTTTTATTATTCCAAGAATCACATACTGTTCATGAAAAGGAGAAAATAGGAACCAACAAGTTTTAAACTTTAATTAAAATTGGGCCTTGACATGAGGCAGGATCAAGCATGAAGCATAACACAGGAACACAGAGTGAAAAATAAAAATTTCAATGTGCAACAGTGACCAAAAGTCATACTGTTGATGATTACTTCAAGCAAACTTGAACGTAGAGGTCTATTTATCAATGTTGACAACACACGTAATATATTTAAACTTACATTTAATGATGATCTTACAGCTTGGAGTAAAGAGTGTCCCAGAATATGTCCTCTCACCAGAACAAGCAAGCAGTCCTCTGATTTTGATGCACAAGTGCCATAATTTATCTACTGGAACTTACAATGGGCTGTTTACTCTTCCAGATCGCGACCTGGTGACAACATTTGCAAGTGGACAAAGTCACAAAGGTCCTGTTTAGAAACAACATTCT